CACGTCTATGTGCCCTGAGACGCTATCTCTAGCAAACGTGGGCAAACTGAGGGCGGGCCGTCCGACAGAGCGTAGGGGTGTGGTTGGTTGGTGCGCGCCCCTCCGCCCGGGCCCGGCCGTGCGGAGCGCATTCCTCCACGTCATTGGCCCACGTGACTGTTTGGGAAGATTAGCCAAATGTTGCACTGTTGCAGTCCGACTTCGCCCCCCCCCCCTCCTCCTCACCGCACAGAGCGCTCTCGTGTCGCCGACCGCGCCTGTCAGTATACTAGTACACATGCATCTCACTTGTCTTCGCTTTTTTTTTCACACCGCTTCATACTCGACACGTCTAATAATTTGCCGCATTAGACGGCATTATATCCACGGTCCGCCGCCGGGTTGTGGTCCGCCTCATGTATGCTAATTGGAGCAGCCCAGGGTGATTGCCGGTCTCTCGGCGACACGCACCCTCCTCCTCGAGCTGCTCTGGGCCGGTCGTCGTCAGCTCGATGACCGACCCCAGGCTGGCCGGTGATAGGCCGCGGGGGCCGCCGGGCCGGGGCAGGTCAGTGTCCTCCTCCCTTTAGGCGGAGGAGGATGCGCGCCGCGCACAAGAAGCAGTGTACAAGAGCAGGAAATTGACTTGGTCTGTCTAGTGGAGTGGACGTGGGCATCACACGGTCCTCCCGCCACGCCGCCGGCCGACATGCGAGCGGCCCGTGACGCAACGCGACGAGTTAGTTGTTCACCGAATAGAAGCGGGGCTGGTCCTGAGCCTGGGCCCCGCCGCCGTGCACCCGCGCTCAGATTAAGTCAGAGCCGCTTTCCTTCTCTTCCATTCATCTCTCTCCGTCTGTCTGTATGCCTCTCTCCCTCTCTTCCCGGAGAACGAAATAACTCTTGACCCCCCTCGTCCGCTGCTATACCAGCACAGCAGCAGACAGCAGCCGTCCAGGCCGCTCTGCCAAACTTGTGCCTCCGCTTTATCTTTTCATCGATGACTTTCGAGCGCATGGGCTTCGTGGCGCCGCCAGTCGTCGCCGCCGCTGTCAGAGAGAGAGAGAGAGAGAAGGGGGCGAGGGGGAAGACATTTGTTTATCAGTCAGCAGGGAGAAATGAATGGAATGCGAACGCACCGAGCGAGATTGCGCACCACCACCACCGGGAGGAAGAGGGGAGTGCTGACCGGGCTGCCGGACCTCCTCCCCCGTACAGCAGGGCGCCCCCCAGGGCTGGCCGGGGAAGCTCGGTGGCCGGCTGACGCGAAAAGTCACTCCAAAAAGTGCTTGGTTCCCTACCACTTTTTATTTTATTTGCTGGGAAATATTACCACACCTGCTTATGGGAACCAAAAGCAGTCGTCGCTCTATCTGTGGGGATAGCACACGTGTGGCCCTGATCTCCGGATGGGCCGCGCCGCCGGGCTCCTTCGGCAAGGCGTGTCCTTGACCGAGGCCCCCGCCGGCGTGACCCGCGCCGCGGCCGCGAAGCGGGCCGTGAGCGGCGGCGGCGTCCAGCTTCTTCAGTCCGGCTGTCGATACCGACCCGGTCTACAAAGTGCAGATTAATCTGCTTCGTGTCTGTACTTTTGCTGTCGGCAAGCAGGCGGCAATCATCATATGTTGTCCCCGCGAGGCATCGGTGTGTCACCAGCATCCCCCCCGGCCAGCGGGCCCTCCCAGGCGCGACCTGGTAGGCAGGCCAGAGGGCGACGCCAATTACATCTCGTACTCGGTGATAGCGGCCTCGGAGGACGCCCTTCCCAACCTCTGACCCCCCGAACACGGGCGGCGAACACGATATAGCCCGTCTTGTTCTTTCGGCTCTTCAGACAAAGAGAAGTCTCGTCGAAGTTATTCGGTGGTTGTTTTTCTTTTAAAGCTTATTGGTTGCGCTTGCTTGTTTCGGCGTGTTCGCTGGCAATTGATCTCATTATGTGCTCAGACTTTTTCCTCTTTCCAGTGTCTGAAATGAAACTGTCGAAATTATATCGCCCCAAAGTTATACCCGACATACGAAGAGAGACTAGATAATCACATCACTCAACACTATACTTGATTGCGAAACCATTTTTCTATCGACCGTTTATCGGCACGAGAGCAAAGAGCCGGCATGATGATTACAATATCCGAATTATAAAAAAAACTAAACTAAAATCGAGCTGTAAAGCAGTTCAATTTCGATACAAGGGGACGGTGAATCATCTGACCGTCGAAAATCAGCGCTATCGCATTGTCCCCATCTACGACGCACAATTGCCGGTCAATATGCTCGGTTATTTACGTGACTCTTACACAATCCGTGCATTGTACAATGTACGTAATACACGAGTACCACCTCGCTTTTGACCCCACGTGCCGCCCCCAGCATACAGAATGGCTGCAAACAGGAGTGTCTCTCTCCCTCGCTCACCACCTGCAGCCAAATAAGACTAAATTCTTACCTCTTATAAATTATCCCTCTCTTTGCATAAAATCAGGCCGCCACACTTTTCGTTTTTCACTTTTTCCATAATTTTTTTGCCGTGTGTGCTGTAGCAAGACGTATCATTTTCTCTGGCGGGGGGATTAGCGCCACGCCGCCGGACCTGTGCAGCATAGGCGTCGACAGGACGAGACGGGACGGGGACGGCCTCGCCAAAAGCGGAGCGTGCGAACCCTCCTCTCTGCTCCGCGGACATTCCTCCTCTCCGGAGTGTTTCTGATCCTCGTCCGGGTCGTGCGGAAGCCGACGACGGCAACGCGACGCGATGACGTGGTGACGACGTTTTGCGGCTCGATCAGCCACCGCCGCCGCGCGAGAACGTGAGCGTCTTCAAACAGGCGTGACCGACACGAACGCCGCGCGTGCCGCCCGCGTGACGCGCCGTGCCTCGCCGCGTCGCCGCCGCGCCCCTCGCGATACGCACCGGCACACAAACAAACACACACAGAAGCCCCGCGTCGCCGTCGTGTGTTCTTCCTTTTTCGTTGTTCGCGCTGGGGATTTATTATTGGCAAATAGTCCTCTATTATTTCCGCTCTCGCGGTGGTTGTTGGTCTTGATGCGATGCTGCTGCTGCTGCCCCCGTGCGCTCTCCGCCACCGCGATCTCTCTGTTGACAAGAAAGCAAAACACTCTGCACGACGCCTTATCACCCATCAAATTCGAGTGGAAGGGGGGAGCGGGGCTCGAGGGGGACTCTGCACGGCGCGTGTGTGTCTCCACGCCACGCCATGCGACGCGACGTCCCGTCCGCCGAGAACCAAATCTCTGAAATTACAGGTTTATTTCTGCGCTAAGATGAGAGGTTGGTGGGTATTATAAGCTTCGACAGCAGGGCAAGATTACATACTTCTCTTCTTTTTTTCTTTTTTGTTTTTTTGCTGCTTCAATGTCAATGTAGAGGGTGTCACGACACACCCCGGAAACTGGATTTGTGTGTCGCTTTGGCTCGGAAAAAAGATTAAAAGACGGGCAATAGCGGCTGGCAGCGCAATGTTGTCACATCCCCCCCACAAGGAGTTAGGCGTACAATAATAGCCGGACAAACGCCAAACTTTGTGTTTGCTTTGTGATTGATTTATCGCACCGATAAAACTACAGCGCGAGTGCAAAGGTTATTCGACACTGCCGCATCGCTGAATCATTGGGGGTCAGGGGACGGTCGACGAAGTGCGTCAGTGCTTAACTCTCCGCGGCTAAAATTTCAATTCAAATTTTCCACTTCTAATGATTGCATGACTGCGCAAGGCAAACGCCTCAAAAAAGAGAGTTTCGTTTTCGTTTTTAATTGCAAGATAGACGCGCGCGCTATACAAAGTAACGAAGACGAAAGTGTCCAGCTATAGCCGCGCAGACACGGTCGCCGCCCTGAGGTGGACGTGGAGGAGGGTCATTCGTCTTCCCACCGTTCCCACCACACTGATGACGGGCGATGACGAGACGACTCTTCGGCGGCGGCGGCGGAGCTTGCTCAGCTTCGCACCCGTGACCTAACTACTATAACTCACCTCTACAGAGGGCGCTGCTGGGGAAACACGCGGCGCGGTTTGGTTTCCAGGGCAAGATTAGAGCAGCATGGAGGCCCGGGCCGCGGGCAGCCGGGCTGCTATGGCCTTGCACTGGGTCGGGCCGGGCCAGCCGCCCAATCGGTTTACTATAGCCCGGGGTGGCCGGGGTGGCCGAAGTAGCGGCCGGCCGCCCGCGGTCACGGCGCGGTCGGTATGGGATGCAGGTCAGATAGGTGGTGGGCCGGGCGGCCCGCGCCCCCGGCACCACGGGCATTGGCGCCGCGGGGCGGGGGGTTGGGGTCGCACATCGCGGATACTTGCAAACAGCAACGTCGTCGTCGTCGTCGTCGTCACTGCCGTTTCTTGTTGTGCGAGGAACACACACAATAAACGTTTTTCCTCGCTTTGATAATAGTTTTACATAAGCCGGGGGTGATGGGAATAGGATGCTGATGCTGATCTGGGTCATCGCTGCGCTGCATGAGCCGCGACGAACGCGGACGCGACGCGCGTCGCTGCAGCTGCAACTCGCGGGGCGCGGGGCGCGAGATACGGCGGTGCCGCTGCTGCTGCTGCTGTGTGGCGGCGCGCGACCCCACGCACGCGCGCGTGCCCCGGCCAGGCCAGGCCGCGGCCCCGCGGGCCCCACCACCGCCAGATAAAGGAGTACGTCCTGGGTAAACAAACGGCTGCAAGCCCGCGCCGGCCGCCGCGGCCCTCTGGCCAGAGGTGCGCTGCGACCTGGCTGCGACTGGAGCGGGAGCAGGAGCAGGACGATGGCACTGGAAGTATCTGGAAAGGGGTGGGCCACATTGAGGGGTATGAGAGGTTATTATTGTCGCGTGAAGCTTTCGGGGGTCGGCGGCCAGGTCAGGTCAGCCGTCGTATGGGTCAGTGCGGGTGCGTTCACACCGTCCGGCGCGCCACTAATACATACCTCATCAACCCCGAGCTATCGTATACGCCTGTAATGGCACGCGCATTGAACTTGTGTGCTAATGTGTACTACTTGTGTGTGTGTTGCAGAGATTCGCCCCGCAGACGGTCGTGATGCCCGTGATGATGATGATGATGTCATCCGAGATTCGCCACTGCTGCTGCTGCTGCCGCCGCCGCTGAGCGGGCCGCTGCCGCTGCACCACGTCCAGCCCCCGCCCCGCCGCGCCCCGCCGAGCGCTAGGCCGCAAGCTCGAGCCGCGAGAGGACAGAGGGGACAGACACACGGCAGTGTATCCGAGTGCTCCGCCCCGCTCTGCTCCGAGCACCGCAGCAGCAGCAAGTGCTCAGTGAAAGTGAAAAGCCCGCGTGAGTCGGAATGGAGGCTGTGATTGCTGAGGCTGCGGCCGCGCCGCAAGGCTCCCGCCAGGCCAACGGCGCCGCCGCCCCCGCGGCCGCCCCCACCGCCCTTGCCACCAGCAAGACCCTGCCGCACCTGCCCAAGCGCGAGCCCGTCGAGGTCAAGTTCCAGGACCTCGCCTACACCGTCAGCCTAGGTTTCCGTAAGGGTGAGTACCGTTGAAGCCTTCGTTTATTTCCTTCAGTCATTTGAACGTTTCGAGAGCGCTGCCGCTCAAATCCGGTTACGTCTTCTCCTCCGTTGGCGATAAGAAGTGACGGCAAGCTCATGTAGTGCAGCAGGCTTCTACCTGGTGGTATAGATTTACCCGGTGCACTGCCTCAAGGCTTCTACCTGGTGGTATAGATTTACCTGGTGCACTGCCTTAAGCTAGGAACTTGACTGTATACCGCAGGCACCCGCGGGTTCCCTACTGGCTCCCAAGGCACCCGTGGTCATCAGAGGCCGATGGGAAACTCCGCTTCAAAATAACCATACAAATTAAGACGGAGGTTGGGTAGCAACCTCTTGTAGTACAGCGTGACCGCGCGCACCCACGTCGGATCGGGCCTTCCCCTGATTGAAAGAGGTTAGAGATTTTTGGAACCAATGACCCTATGACCCTGTTTGCGACGCCGGTGCCGGCCGGCCGGCGCGTTCACGTTGCATCCTTTACAGTCGGTGTGGTCCTCCTCGGCCGGCCCATTTGCACACAATATGGGTGACTGGGCAGGAACCAGATCATTAGCACACCCAGCTAGAGCTCCGCCGGGCCACGCATTGCCACGCCGTCTCGCTATGGGTTCGGCCGCAGGGCCTCTATGATGGAGCTGGGTGGGCTGGGCCGCGGGGAAGTCGTGGGCCCCCGGGGAGGGGACCCCGGCCCGAGTCGAATCGGGTCTTACCAGTCTGCGTCAACGTTCCCGCCATGCTAGCAGCCCGATTGCCGAACATGAAATATTGTCCACTGGCCTAGATTTGAGTCAAGAAATGAAAAAAGCGAGAATATGGCTGGTTGGGAAACGTTTTGTAGCACCGATATTAAAAATAACGAAATATGAATGAAAATCGTATTTTTAACAACAACGAAAATATTCAAACCTGAAATCCATCTTCTCCCATCGTTTTTAGAAGCAATCACGACCTGAGGTTCAGGGCGCCCGCGGGCGAACAGACTCAACCGGTGTCATGCGAAAGTGTGCACCGGAGAGCATATGGGCGTGACGCTCGAGCGATGCGTTCGCGAAGGTCGTACGTCGCGGTACAGTAGTAGTAGTACTTCACCGAGATGCTGCCGAGAGAGGATGCTCTCGCTTTGCGCTCTCCCTCCTCCTCCTGAACCGTTCCGCCTCCGCTGTCAATCGTATAACTCGTTGCTCGCTTTGTCCGGGTGATTTTCCACACGACGAGACGCGCGCGCGCCTTTTTAAAACCAGGCCGCCGCACCACCGACCGGTAACGGCTAATACCTCCCACCTGCCGCTGCCGCAAGTGTCCCGCGCCCGGCCCGCCCCGTCCACAGGAGAGAAAACTGGTTGAGGTACTTCCTCGGATCCGGGCGGGCGCGGTCGCCGGCGCGGGTGGTACCACGTACCATACAGAGGACGGACGGCTCCAGCTGCTCGCTGGCTGCCGATGTGTGACGTCAGACACGACGATAGTCCTCGCGCCCAGCAGCGACGCGTCCTGGCCGGCACGTCCCTCTCATAGACACGGCGGTCACGCGCGTGCTTTGGCCCGGCCCGTGCGTACCCGCGCCGCGAGCGTGAGTGGACAGCGTAAACGCCGCAATTCATCCGCCGTGTTGCGTGTCATTTCGGTTTGCCGCGCCGCTATACTACTGCCGGGTCGGGTACTAGTACCCGGCACACTGCCGCCGATGGGTACCCGCGTGACGTCACACCGTGAATAAGGAAGCCCTTCTTCTTCTTCTCCGCAGTGCGCGCCGGCTGCCGACTCTGCGCGCTTTCTTGCTGTGAGGTTGCCTCGCGGACGCCTCGGGCGCGGGATGGAGAGGACAGAGAGAGAGAGAGGAGGGGGGGGGGGGGGGGAGGCACACGGGCGTGTCGCTGCAGCAAGGGTCAGCAGCCTGATAAAGCTCGTAATGCTTGTAACGCTTCAAGTAGTGTTGGCACGGCAGCAAGAGCAGCGGTCGCCGCTGCGACGGGGCATTCGTCGTCGTGTTTGTGATTCACACGGTTTATCGCCGCCTTTGCCTTGGCGCGCTTTTGTCCCGCGTTCTGTTTTATTTTTGTTGGGCGGTGCGTTGTGGTGCTCTTTGTCTCTCTCACTCACACACACCTCCAGATGGCCCTGGTGCTGCTGCCTGGTCGGACTGATTCACTTTCACCTTCGGTGTGCTGGGCTGTGCACCCCTCCCCCCCCTCTCCCTGCCGCGTATAAGACTCGTGTTGTCTTGTGTTCATGAGTACTTTAGAGATGAGGGCGGGGGACGTGGAGTGTCCTGGATACGCCGCCGCGGAAAAGAGAGTGGCGCGATGCTAATGACTGGAGAAAAATGAACCAAGTTGTGCGCAGCTGTGACTACAAAATTACTGAATGGATAATGACTGCGACTGGAAAATGACACCGGACTAAAAAGTAACTGGATATGACTGTGAAAATGATTTGTAGCTCACATGTATACTGTCTGGACAAAGTATCTACAGACGCCGTATTCAATGACGATCTTTTTTTTTTTGCTACCCTGAAAATTCTAACTACGTACAATGTGCACCTCGGTCGTTGTCGTGTACAAGACGAGGAATCCTTTTTCTGCCAATTAATCGGTGGCGACCGGACCTGAAGTGCTGAGCAGGCGACATTCACACATGGAGCGCCCGTGCATGCAGCAGCATTTAATGTTTCTGAGACGCATTACCGGCCATTACGAGGCATCACCGTCATGACCATTTCGTGTCCTGTCCGAGGAGCCGGTAGCGGTGCGGCCGCGGCACGTGCGAGTGAATGGGGGAGGCGAGGAGGAGGTTGGGGGAGGGGGGAGGCGACCCCAGAGGCGCGAGGCTGTACGTCAGGTTATCGCTGAAGCCGAAGAGCAAGCGCGGGAGAGAGAGATTGCCGAGCCAAACAGAATATCTGTCCGCCGCAACACTGTGCCGGCCGCCGGGCGAGCGGCACCAGCGTTCGCTTTGTACCGCTTACGGGGTTATGGAGGGGTAAATGGGGAAGGGAGGGGGGGGGGCACTATCATTGAGTGAAGGGCCGTCTCAGCCGGCCGCCGTTGGGCCGCCGCCGTCAACGGACAACCGTAGAAAGAGGTTGGTTGCTCAGGCCCAGGGTGGCCGGCGCACGAGTTTATTGGCGAATATCTGCCCGCCCACTCTTTTTATTTTTGTGGTAATTATTGAGTTTTAGCGAAGATACATTGTTGATGAATATGAATAACTCCAAACATACCAAACAGATGGGTATGTTTCTTCAATATACATGCTATGTAGATTATTTTTGGTTTCACAATAGTTTAAAATTATTCCAATTCCCCCCCCCCTGCCCCCCGTGCCCTCGGGGGCGTAATGACTGAGCAATGACTCGTGCTCTATCCCCGGCGGCTGGGGTCCCCCCGGCGGGGCACGTCTGACTCGTCTGAGACGTTGTAGTATCGGCGCACCGACCGACACCTTCGCTCTGAGGCCACTAACCTGCCCCACGTTCGACATAATCTCTTGCTTTGGGCTGCCTGGCCCACGGCGGGCAAAGGCAAGAGCACGTTGGCGCTATAAATACATCACCATCTTTTTCAAAGTAAACCTATTTCTTTCCTTGCTGTGTAGCGGTCCAGCGACTGTGCAATGTGTTTGCCGCCCAAGAGCAAACTCTCCTATCTCGTGAGAAGGGCTGCTGCTGTTAGGTCGTCCGGCTGGTATAAGACAAGGAGCAACCTTGTTTCAGTCAAAGTTTAAGCGAGCAGAAAGATGTTAATTTGGATTTTGAACGCTATGAGCAGGGCCGCACTATCGTGGCGAGCTTAACGCCTCATTAGTTATGCAATATGCGGCGATAGCTCGTTATCTGGTCTCTGTGTATTTTTTCCCATTATGCTGACTGATCTGTGACGAATAGTTTTCTTTTGCTTTTCTAATCCTTTTTTTTCGTCTCTGTTGCTTGTTCCAGGTCAGAAAGAAATTATCCGAGTCAATGGCCGGTTTTGCCCGAGTCAGCTCATTGCGATCATGGGCCCGTCTGGTGCCGGCAAGTCCACCCTCCTCGACATATTATCAGGATACAGGTAAGGAAACTAAAACTTTTGGTTTTTGCCACCAACAAACTTAATGTCCATGAATAATGTACTTAATGTGTGAAATCCCGCGTGCAGGATCAGTGGCGTTACCGGGAACGTGATGGTGAACGGGCGGCCGCGCAACCTGGACAGGTTCAGGCGGATGTCCTGCTACATCCAGCAGGACGACAGGCTGCACTCGCTGCTCACCGTGCAGGAGAACATGTCCCTGGCGGCCGAGCTCAAGCTGACGCGAGCAGTCCCGAGGGCGGAACACCAGGCCATCGTAAGAATGCCTCGGCCATCACGCGTTTATTCTTAAAATAAATGAAGTCTTTTTGAAAGGATTGACTACAACTTTCTTCCATGCGCAGATTGACGAGATCCTGAACACGCTGGGCCTCCTGGACCACCGCGGCACCAGGACGGGGCAGCTGTCGGGCGGCCAAAAGAAGCGGCTCTCCATCGCCCTGGAGCTCATCAACAACCCCCTCCTCATGTTCCTGGACGAGCCCACCACGTGAGTCCAGGGTCCAGGTCCGTCCGGTCCGTCGTTGATCGCGACCTTCGCCCCGTCTGTCTCTCTTCCGCCCGCGACCTGTGATTTGCCGTGATCAACAGAGGGCCGGTTCCGTCTCAGTGAATTTCCAGAGCGCGTTTTTATGAACTCTTTGCCCGC